CCCACATATTCTTACGACACACTAATTTAACAAATTAGTTATTCACGAGTCAAATTTAAACTAATTTAACAAATTAGTTATTCACGAGTCAAATTTAACTTAATTTAGGAACCGGACCAAATGAATTTGTAATACTATAAAAATATCTGAATTGTGTTGGAGATTTCACAGCTGGCCATGGATTCAAAAGACTTACTAGTCTTCTTATTGCATCGGTTCTTCGTAGACACATGTACAAGGTGTGCACTTTCACTTTCAATATTTAAGTTTGCTATCTTGTCCTTACCAATAACAACAACGTTTGTTGTCAGTAGATATGACGTGTACAATAACAAGTAGCAGATGGAGAGTTCAAGTGCTGTATGTCCCTTGGCATAACGAAGAGGCCAACTGATCATACAAAAGAAAATGGAAAAATAAATTCTGATTTTCTAAGATTTATTTTTGTTCATTATTCTAATTCTGAATTACGAGTTGTGAGCTTCGACCTAGATCACATTTTGGGACGAGTCTATATTATTCAGTCAGAGTTTCATAGAGAGAGGCACTTGGGTTAAGCCACATAACAGATGTGGCAGAATTAGAATGTGCCACATGTTCAATTTCTTTTTTTTTAGGAAAACTAATGAAAATAACTTGAAAATTTTGAGTTTTAACGAAAATAATAAAAATGTGATTTTTCGTTAAAGTGAACAGTACCAAAATCTTTTCGTTAAAGTTTCATTTTTCTTCCTAATTATTTTTGCACCATAAAAAGTGTATACCTCCTCATTTTCCCTGACCAGAGGAGAGAATGATAATGTCATGAGGAAGAAGACAAGATATCTTGATGTGGTTTGTGGGTTTACTCTGCATGAGAGCTTTTTAGGAATAAATACCAGTCTAGGGATAATCATAAAAGAATTTTTTTGACAAAAATGATAGATTGATATTTCATTGATCATCTCAAATAAATAGAGGTGTTAGTTGCGCATCATGCTGTAGTGATTAAGAAAATGATTTGGAGTTAATTTGTTCAAACAAGACAACTATAATAAATCTCTAAATGGCTACCGCATATATGAAAACTACACACGGTACCCATACTAATCTATTACATAACAATAGATGCAACATATTCGTATCAATGATTACAATAGATCATTACCTAATAGCAAAGCCACATAAATCATCCGAAAGAGCGAGACCACATAAAATCATTGTTAATTAGTAAGGAGAATCAAAACTTTATTAAAATAAATTGCAGAGTGTAGACGAATGTTGGATTAAATGACGAATTGTTGAGTTCAAACAAAATTTTCTTTAGTTTATTAGACATTGCTTTACGTGCGTATTTCCTTTGATAACTTTTTATAGTAGTGAAAGTTAGGAATAAATATATTTTGGGTGTAGCGTATTAAGGTTTGTATAGACTTTTGTTGAGTTTTTTTATTTCACCATGTAAGTAGACTTTTATTGACTATTATAAACTCCATAATATTTTTCAACCAAAAAAAATAAACTCCATAATCTTTCATATGCTTTTTATGATACACTTTTGTGGAACTTTTGCATAATTTTAGAGAGTTCAATACTATAATTTTTAGATTATATGGATTGTCATAGACTTTTAATGACCAATTTATTAATAAACATTATTATTATCAAGTTTTGGGAACTATTATTAGTACTCCAAAAATTTCATTCTACACTCATCACAAGTGTATTTTTCTTTCTAATTATAGAAAGTTTGGAGGGCAAAATGAGATTTTTGGAGTGCTAATAACAATTCCTAAGTTTTTACTATTAAAATGTTGATGATGACCATGACAAAGTGGTCCTATGAGGTGGTAGTGGTAACAATGGTGGTGAAAGTGTCACATTGTAATTGTTAACAAGATGGTGGTAGTAAAGTTGGTGCCTTTAGTGGCATCAATAATAATAGAGGTGGTCATTGTGGTGGCAAGGTGTTGTTGGAGTGGTGGAGGAGTAGGGATGGGGACGGTGGTGATGGGGTGGTGATGATGGTGGTAGAGGTGCCGGTCATGGTCATGGTGGTGACGGTGGTGGTCATAGTGGGCTTGGCAATGATCGACATGGTGGTGTCAGTGGTAGTCATAGTACAGTTGGTGATGATGTTCATGGAAGTGACGGGGGTGGTGGCTATGGGGGTGGATAAGTGGTCATGGTAAGGTGGTGATGGCGACATGGTGGTGAAAATAGTAATAATAATAGTCATTGCATTATGATTAGTGGTAGAGTTTATCATTTCAGAATTGAGAAATAAAGAAATTCATCAAAAACATAGATGGAGGGGTGGGATTTGAGATAACAAAAAACTTACCATAAAAACACTACAAGCCCATAGAACCGGCATTGACAAACTATAGATAAGGAAAAGGTATTTGGTTTGTTGGATTGAATAGCAGAATGACATTTCTATGGAATGATCGTTCCATTGTTTATATGTATGTATGTATTTTGTCAATCATACATATATTTAGAATTGCTCTTTAATTTTCATTCCCAAACCAATGGAATAGGCATTAACAAACTATAGATAAGGAAAAGGTACTTCCAAACGGGCGTTTCTATCATTCAATTGGCCCTAAGGATTTACTCGAACTCTAAACTCGAGACTCAAGACCCAAAACCCTTGAACTTGAGACTCAAGACCCCAAACTTGGAATACAATATCCCTGACTCAAGAATTGCGAACTTATGGCTCGTTTACATACCCATAATTAAAATATAAGAAATTGAATTGAGGAGGAGTTGAAATGAGGAGGAGTCACAACCAGATTCTTGTTGAAATTGTGTACTTAAATATTCTAGAATTGGAGTAAGAATGAAACTGAGTTCATATAAGTTGTTTACTAATCCACCTTAATTAGAATAGAATTGAATATGATTATTAAAATGCCTTTATTCTAAATAGCATATTTATATGCCAATTAATTGGATAATATTTTTATTCAAATTAACTGTATAATTACTGATCATTTTTGAAATAAAATAAAATCTTAATCAGTAATTACCCTAAAAACATTAATTATTTTGTTACTTTTTTTAATTCATATGTTTATAAACAAGAAATTCAAGAAAATTAACCCAGCAAAAAAGGCCGTTTGCTAGGCAGTGGACAGAGGTGGTTGGCAAAACTGAAATTATAGTAAATATCTAAGGGTATAATGGGTAAGAACAATGGATATCGATTCCTCCGTACATCCAGAATTAAAATACCACCTCAATTAGGATGTCCAATTTCTTCAAAATGAGGAATTGAATTCCTTATTTTGTGTGGATCCCATCTTTCCTTTTATTCTCCCAAGTTTAGTAATTAAAATTCAATTCCGCATTTTGATTTTAATACGCTGTTGTAGTAGACCCATAACTGACTGTTCAAAGAACTACATCGAAGAAGCTAGGACAAACAATGACATATGTTTGCCTTCACACAGTGGGCTTGTCCTAAACCCAAGTCTCATTATCATTTCAAGCTATGGACCAAACATCAAGGAACCCAAGCCCTAAGTTCCTAGCTAGTTATTTTTTAGTATTGAGATACAAATTTTGAGTAAATATCCAAAGGTCTGCGGACATTGACAATGATGGACAAGCTTGTTATCCCAAACTCATATGCCACACGGGCTGAAATGCACAATTCCTTGAGGATCTAAGCCAATGTGGCAATTACAAACCTCTCCCAACAACTGAAAGCCACACTTGAACCTTTCCCAATATAATATAAACAAACAAAGAGAGAGCTTGGCTTGAAAGATCACCCATACCTTAAACCCATCACATCCGCCTCTCCAACACCACTCACACACACCCAACCTCTCCTCAGTCCGCCATATACCCTTCAAATTTCAATTCCCTTGTCTTTGATGCCGACCTTCCACCACCACCACCACCACTTGCCACTTTGCTCATTTCATTTGTATTTGCCTCATTGGATTTGGGACCAGCATCCGGCCCGACTCTTGTAGGTCCCACCTTCTCCCCACTATCCCATCAGGGCTCCACAGCCGGCCACGTTGACAAATTAAGGTTAGTGTTTACTTGATCATGCGAAAAAATGGTATCAATTATGTAAACGAGGTTTCATTGAGTTAGTAAGAATTGTTTTCTTTCGTTAGATCAAGATTTAAGTTGGAGTCCTACTACAGGCAATATCTTTTGACGAACGATCTGTAAACAAATAAAATAAAATAAAATCCTTTGTGTAAGTCCTAAAAAAGATTTGTAATATATTCTGATATTAAAATGGGTTAGCCTATTTTACTAAAATTGGTATCAATTTTAGGGTTTGGTGTGAATTATATTATTCTTAGGTTGGGTGGGGCCCATTTTGGAAACTGTGAACAAGTGTTTAGTGTTTTGACCGAGAGAAGAATCAAAAGATGAGAGGCACCCAGATACCGAGGACTAAAGTGCTTAAGCTAAGCGGAACGAGATCCTTGTTTTTGGATTTGATTTTGATAATTTGCTCTGAGAGAGTAATTAACGTGTAAAAGAAGATTTGGTAAATTTGTCCTATATGGGAGTGGGTGCAAAGCCTGCAGTCATTCAGCCTGTGTTACCAACTTACCATAATAACCTTGTGTAAATTCACGAGAAAAAGTACTCCCAAGTTCCCAATACACGCATTTAGCGGGGAAGAAAAACACTCGTTACATTTGATTAGCGTATTACTCTTCTTATTTTCAAGTTCGAATATTTTTCTCGTAGTTAAAATGTTTGCCTTTTTATGGAAAAAAAAAAACAATAGACTAGTCTAACAAATGAGACTACGACGTGTATTACCAAAAACTGTGTCATTATGTTCGTACTACAACTATATACCATTTAGCAACTTTATGTTTGCACTTGCCAAAAACCAGAATCAGAAATAATACTCCGTAATTTGTTTGGAAAGGGCATTAGGGTCTTTTACTACTTGAGATAGGCCAATCCAAACAGACCCTCTCTCTCTCTTCAGTTGGGTAAGAGAGAGGCTTGAGCAGCTCGAGAAAGAGAATAATGAATATATAAATAAAACGACAAGAGAGAGAGACCTAAAGAGAGCAAGAATAAAGTAATAGACAGGCCAACATGCGATAGTGTAGTTTTATTATAACCCTACCATTCTCTGCCGTTGGACAGATAAGCTGTCCCTTTTGTCTCTCTCATCCCCAAACAATCCCCTTCTCACTCTTTTGCAATCCCACCTTCATATAACATAATCTCCCTCTCTTTTAAAACCTCACAACCCCAAACCCTACTTTAATCCCTTCATTCTTTCCATCTTTCTCTTCAACCATATATCTTCATCTTCCAAATCAAGTAACTATGGCCTCAAAAGCAAGGAAGAAGCAGATATGGTGTCCACAGCCACTGACGCCGCTCATGGAAGGGCCGGACCCCGAAATGCAAGAGGAAGGTGGCAAAAAGGAGAGCTCTTGGGAAGTCATACGTGAATGGTTTAGGGCACAAAAGGGTGGCCCTCCTAGTCCCGGGAATAACTTATCGGCCTCAGGATATGGGAGCGGTAGTACTATTCCAGCCAAAAGACAAGACTTGAGGCTCTTGCTTGGTGTTTTAGGCTGTCCTCTTGCTCCAATTCCACAAGCCAATGACCCAGTTGATCCTCACCTCCTTCACATTAAGGACATCCCATTTGTAAGTGAAAAAACCCACATTATATTATCATTGTCATTATCTTGTACAAGCGATACAGGAATAGAGGGGTGTTGAGCGCAGAACCACAGATGCATGAGTGAATCTTCTCTTAATTTTCTGGTATATGTTGTTTTAGTTAGTAATTAATTAGTTAATTTACTTTTTTGCTAATAATGTGTAGGAAACTTCTATAGCGCATTACATTATAAAGCAGTACTTGGCAGCCACGGGGTGCTTGAAGCAACAGAAATGTAACAAAAACATGTATGCAAGTGGGCGTGTGAAAATGGTTTGCTGTGAAACTGAGGTTTCTGCAGGAAGAAATGTAAAGACTTCGGGAACAAGAAGTGGGGAAAGCGGGTGCTTTGTTCTTTGGCAAATGTTGCCTGGCATGTGGTCTTTGGAGTTGGTCGTTGGAGGCAACAAGGTGGTGGCTGGTAGTGATGGCAAAACGGTTTGGAGGCACACTCCTTGGCTTGGTATTCATGCAGCCAAAGGCCCCCAGCGCCCACTGCGTCGCCTCATACAGGTATACATATACAATGTTCCTCTCACAATAATTTTCTTGCATAAATCATACCATTAAATAATGTTAAAATGTAGAATATACGCTTGTTATATGCAAGAAATTTTGTCGTAAATTTATGATGCTACATATTAATGATTTCTATTATGATTTTGGGCATAAACAACTTTTGATTTTGAACTATAAAGAGAAGGAACCGTAGCGTTCAATTATTCGAAATAGCCTTTACCAAACAAAGATAGAGATTGAGGAACAAATCACAATCCCAATAAAATGATACTTGGCTGACAATGATAGGGAAACTGTCGCGTGCTTTGCCCTACAGACTCTTTTTTTTGGTACAGCTCCAAAGCGACCTAAGAATGGCACGTGATTACCGTTCTTACGTCATATACTGATCAGATGTATTATGTACATCTTGTTCTTGGGATTACCACATATGCTGAACTAAAGTGTCTATGTATTATTTCTTGCTTTAACTTTTTCTTTTTCCCTTTAGTAAATGCTGCCGGATCTAGTGCAGCGTACCTACATGCTCTTTCTTTTTCGTTCTTCTTCCTTCTTTTTCCCTTTTATTTTTCCTTTTCGTTAAGAAAAATTCCCTTTGATAAAAAATAAATAAAATACTATTACCTAATATATATATGTATATACTTAGTATTGGTTGATCAATACTTTGTAGAAAATACTTCGAACGAAGATAAAAAGGCATTAAAAGAGATCAATAGTACGATGAGAATGTGCATGAGCCATTCAATCAAAATGAAGTATTGGTGATATATACTCATAATTTCATAAATTTGACAAATATTTCTATGTTTAATTTGCAGGGCCTAGATCCAAAGAGCACAGCAAGCTTGTTTTCCAAAGCACAATGCTTGGGAGAGGAAAGAATCGGAGACGATGATTGCTTTGTACTAAAAGTCTCTGCCGATCGAGCGGCGGTGATGGAAAGAAGTGAGGGTCCTGCAGAAGTAATCAGGCATGCATTGTATGGATATTTTTGTCAAAAGAGTGGTCTCCTCATATACTTAGAGGACTCACACCTCACCAGAGTTGAAACCCCAGAAAATGAAACTGTGTACTGGGAGACCACCATAGGAAGCAGCATTGCTGACTATAGGGATGTGGATGGTGTGCTCATTGCTCATCAGGGCCGCTCGATCGCCACAGTTTTCCGGTGTGGCGAGGTGTCGATGGAATACACAAGGACTAGGATGGAAGAAGCTTGGAGCATTGATGATGTTGTGTTTAATGTACCAGGGCTTTCCATGGACTATTTCATTGCTCCTGCTGATATATTTGATAGTACTGTACCATCACCATGATCATTAACTGTCTACTCCGAACTGATGGAGCTTAATTACTAGGATATTAGTTTGGTTTTAATTACAAAAATATTGGTGGGTACACTTTGTTAATGTGATGTAATATTTTGGGGGTTTTTTCTTCTTTTTTTTTTCAAGTGTATTATGTAATATGTAGTAGGGTTTGAAGTAAGCTTAAAATGACAAATTCAAGCATGGGGTGGAATAAGGGATCTTGTTGTATTCTAATCTAATTCATTGTCCTTTTTTTTTTCTTTCTAAATCTAATGCATTTAGGAAGTGGCCTTTGTTTATTTAAACTATTTGTACCATAATCACTAATCAGGTCTCTTATATACGTATAGATGCGATCAGTAATGCAATTAACAAATGAAATGTGTACGCAAATAATTAATATTCTCTAAATACAGGTTAAATTCATTATATATAAGTACAAAAAAATGTAATCAATAAATGTGATTGTACACAAAATAATTAAAGTTCTCCAAATTTACATTTGGTGGTTTGATAAGAAAAAATTGAAATGATGAATTGTCCTTCCACAATGGATGGGTGGCAAAGTCAAAATCAAGGAAACTGGCAATCAAGAACATGAAATGTTTAACTTTCTTACTTCAGGTGGGCTATCTAATTTAACAGAGTAGCCCATATATAGTTTTATTTTTCCTTCGGCTGACTAAATTTCGGTTCCTTCACACTTAAGACCCTTTTGTCATGCGGAGATCCAAGCATGAAGCCCACCGAATCCACGGTTGAAAACCTCTAAAACAAAAAATAAATAGATATGGCTGGCCTCCTTTAAGATGAAAATGGGCAATGGTCTAGCTTCAATCGACGGAGAGGTCATTTGCAAGCCTTCGTTCTTGAGAGTCACACACAGAACTTTGTAAATTTGGGAAGTTTGTTTGTAGCATGTTCCCTAAAGTGTTGTGCCTCAAAAAAACCAAGAATGCCTAACATAGTAACCAAACATAACCATATACCATAATTATAAACATTAGACATAAGAAAATGTGTGATGTTATTCACAATGTCAAAAGTGTGTATAGTGTACACATACGTACTAGCTAGATCCATGCAGAGAACCGCTAACTGGTTAGGGTTGCACTCCAGTTTCTTTCCAAATGAGAAAATATTTCACATAAATAGCATCAGAGTCGATTCTAAGTTTTTGAACGCGCAAGGTGAAATTTACAAAAACCTTTCTTTGTTTGTAGCTAGATACATCTTTCACAAGGAAATAAAGCTTCGAAATAGTCCATAACTTCATTCAAATACAAACCTTTATTTCAACTCGTTAGATGCATCCAAAACTCGATATCTCTTCACCATGACAAGTAATAAGGGAAACATTTTGATTTGCCACCTATAGTTTTACCAAAGTGCAATTTGCAACCTGAAAATGGAGAACGAAAAATTGAAGCAATGTATCACTTGAATTATAATTAATTAATTGCAATCTGCCACCAAAAGAGGTCACCAAAACATGCACTGCTTCAATTTTTTTAATCGAAAATTTGACTAAGTTAACGATAGATTGTTGATTGCAATTGATTATTGATTCATGTGATGCTTCAAATCCCTTCCAGGTGAAAAATTGTGACATGAGTGAATTTCCAGTGGCAATTTAAGAATTTGTGCAAAGTATTAATAAAACTGACTGGAATAGAGTGCTTGCATTTGTTGTAAATTATGTGGTTATCCATATAGAGAAAAGCATTAAGGGCACGTTTGGTGGCCCGGCTAGGATTGGATTTGGTAGTTTGGATTGATTAGGCTAGGATTGGAGTGGATAGGTTGGGAGAGTTGTGTCTGTTGTTTGATGCAGACAACTCAACCAAATTCAATTTGGGATAGGCTGGGAGTTTTCTTGCTCAACTCTTTGAACGGGAAGAGAAACCTCACCATGTTATCATAATAAAAACCATTGTTCTAAAAATCCCCGCTTAGAGTTGCCTAAGCCCTATCTAGGCGCTATTGTAAATTAAACCAAAAACCAATGAAGCAATAAACAAAACATAATAATTTCAGAGTTCCTCCAATATAGGAGTATCTCTCTGACAACGGAAACTTTATTGATTACCAACAAATACAAGAGAACTCACAAATACAAAGTATTCTCAAGTATACAAACTTATGCCTCTAAAAAACTTTCACACACAAAACTCTATCCCACATCCATCTATTTATACTAATAGATGTCATAGGTTTACACAAAGTCCCTAGAATATAGGAAACCAAATCCTATACTAAAACCAAATCTCAAACCAATTAGGAAACACAAATCCAAATATCTTGAGTCCAAGATATCCTAATCCTTGTTTGATTCTTGTTTTAGTTTAGGCATGTTGATTTAATGCCAGATCCAACAATCTCCATCTTGGCATGAAATCCAAAATGAGGCATCAAGATCAAACTTGCTTCAACTGCACCAAATCCAAGCAGTGCTCGAACTTAGCTACATTAACCACCGTTGTCAACATATCAGTTAGACTATCTTCTATAGCAACCTTTTTTTAGACGAATCTCACATTCAGCTACCACTTCTCTCACAAAATGATATCATACATCAATATGCTTAGTCCTAGCATGATGTACCTGATATCTGGCCAAATAAATGGCACTTTGGCTGTCACAATATACATCCAACTTGTGTTGTTCTACACTTAAATCTCCCAACAACCCCAGAGTCCACATTGCTTATTTGATAGCTTCAGCAATCGCCATGTATTCTGCTTTTTTGGTTGATAATGCCATCGTTGGTTGTAATATTGATCTCCAACATATATGACCCTTTGCCATAGTAAACACATACCTAGTCATCGATCTTTACTTGTCTAATCTCCAGCAAAGTCCGAGTACACATATCCAACTGAGAACTTATCAATTCCTTCATCACATTTTTCAAAACAAATACCTTTGTCCCTCGTTCCATGTAAATACCTTAGTATCCACTTAGCAGCATTCCGGTGCTTTCTTCCAGGATTATGCATGAATCTACTAACAATTCCAACTGCATGTGCTATATCAGGACGAGTACACACCATAGCATACATTAATTCTCCAACCAAATTAGCATATGGAATACCATTCATCTTCATCAGTTTTGAGACATTGTTGATTGCTCAACTTGAAGTGAGCACCTAATGGAGTTCTTACAGGATTAGTGTCTTTTGTTACTCCAAACTTTTGTAACAACTTCTCAAAATATTGCTTCTGAGACAAACACACCAAACTTTTTTGTCTATCCCTTGTGATCTCTATTCCCAATATTTTCTTAGCTTCACCAGGATTCTTCATTTCTAACTCCCTTCTCATTTGCTCCTTTAACTTTTCTATCTCTGAAATATTGCTTGAAGCTATGAACATCTCGTCCACATAGATTAACAAGTACACGAATGAACCATCTTTCAACTTCTTGTGATAAACACAGTGATCATAGTGACATCTTGTATAGTCTTGACCCTTCATAAACTTGTCAAATCTTAAATACCATTGCATGGGCGACTGCTTCAAACCATAAAGAAATTTTCTGAGCTTACAAACCAATCTTTCTTTGCCCTTCACTTGATACTGCTCGGGTTATCTTATATAAATCTCTTTATCCAAATTACCATGAAGGAATGCAGTCTTCACGTTTAGTTGTACCAATTCAAGGTTGAAATGTGTAACTAGGGCAAACAATATTCAAATGGAGGAGTGCTTAACCACATGAGAAAAAAAATCTAATTGTAATCTATTCCCTCATTCTGAGCATATCCTTTAGCCACTAGCTTAGCTTTAAATCTTACCAAACTCTTGTCATCCACTCCATCATTCTTTGCATAAACCCTGCAGCCAATTGTTTTCCTTCCTCTAGGCAGCTCCACCAATTCCCAAGTCTTATTCTTGTGAAGGGAAAACATCTTATTGTCCATTGCATTATACCATTTACTCTCTTCTTCATTATTTACTGCCTCTTCAAAAGTAGTGGGAATTTCAGCCTCAATTACTGGCAATACATATACCATGCAGGCCATGCAATCTTTATATCTCGTAGGTAAGGATATGTCTCTTTTCCCCTTCCTTTGGCTATTCAATCATCTTATATCTTTAGTTCTTCTGATGGTGTTTCTTCTTCGCGATCACTCTCTTCATGTTCAAGTTGATCGCCTTATTTTTCTTCTTCTAGAGCTTCCTTACTTGGCAGCGAATTCACAATTACTCGTTCCTAAGCTCCACCATCTGAACATCTTCCTTCAATTTCATGTGACTTTCATCAAATGTCACATCTCTACTTACTATAATCTTGTTCAACTCGGGATACCAAAGTCTGAAACCTTTCACACCACTATTGAATCCCATAAAGATAGCTTTCTTGGCTCGTGGATCCAGTTTGTTTTCCTTCACATGAAAGTAGGCATTGCATCTAAACACTTGTAGCTTATCGTAGTCCTGAGCTGGTTCTCTAGACCACACTTCAATGGGTGTTCTACCCTAAAATGCTATTGATGGTAGTTGATTAAGCACATGACATGCATAGCTCAAAGCTTCTGCCCAAAATATCTTTGGCAGCTTAGCTTGAGATAGCATGTAACGAACTTTCTCGAGCAAGTAACTATTTAGTCTCTCTACAATCCCATTCTGTTTTGAAGTATGTCAAACACTGAAATGCCGAGTACTCCCTTCCTTTTTACACTATGAAGAAATGATCAAAGGTATATTCCCCTCCATTGTCACTTTTCAGTATCTTAATCTTCTTTCTAGTCTTGTTTTCCACCATGTTCTTCCATTCCAGAAATATGTCAAGAACCTTGTCCTTTCGTTTCATCATATATATCCTTGATCTGTGATAGTAGTCATCAATAAAAGATACAAACCATCCTTTTCCACCTAAAGAAACATTCTTTGCAGGCCCCTAAACATCAGAGTGAAAATAGTCCAAAATCTCTTTTGTTTGATTAACAGTTGAGCCAAATTTCACCTTTGTTTGTTTGTCGAGAACACAGTGCTCACAAAACTCTATCTTTCTAATTTTTGCCCATTTTAAACACCCTTGTTTGATCAATCCTTGCAATTCTTTTTCTCCTACATGTCCCAACCTCATGTGCCATAATGCAGGCAAGTCATTTTTATCAATTTGCACTTCATCAGTTACCATAGCCGCTCCATTTTCCAAATTCTTTCCTTGTAGAATATAAAGTAAGCCATTACAAGGAACTTTCATTATGACAAGTGCTCTTTTAGCAACTTTGAGCACATTGTTATCGGAGTAAAACTTGT